TCGCCTTCTTCTACCCCTACAACTCCGGCCAAGGTGGGTACTGACCGGGGGGGGGTCGCCCTGCTCCCCCCCCCATGCTGGTTCTGCTTGGTTCTGACCGGGGGTCTCCTCTGTGAGTGCCCCCAGATTAATTTTAAATCTGACAGGCTAACGTATGCTGATCTGACAGGCTAACGTATGCTGATCTGACAGGCTAACGTATGCTGATCTAACAGGCTAACCTATGCTGATCTGACAGGCTAACGTATGCTGATCTCACAGGCTAACGTATGCTGATCTCACAGGCTAACGTGTGCTGATCTGACAGGCTAACGTACGCTGATCTGACAGGCTAACGTGTGCTGATCTGACAGGCTAACGTGTGCTGATCTGACAGAGTATCTGCTGTGTGACCCCCCCCCCCCTGCAGCCGGAGCCATCGACGACTCTCTGCTGCTGATGATGTTCTGGGTTCTGGCGGGTCTCTCGGTCCTGGGTCTGCTCTCGCAGCGCCACGGCCTGCAGCCGCTCACCGGCGCCCTCATCCTGCGCTCCATCTACCACCTGGGGATCGGCAACACGCTCGTCCTGCTGGGCTCGCTCAACGTGAGGACCCCCGGGGGGGCCGCCACCCCGCTCTGTGCCCAAAGAGGCCCAAAGAGACCCAATGAGGCCCAGTGAGACCCAAAGAGACCCAGTGAGGCCCAATGAGGACCAAAGAGACCCAATGAGACCCAATGAGGCCCAAAGAGACCCAATGAGACCCAAAGAGACCCAATGAGGCCCAGTGAGACCCAATGAGACCCAATGAGGCCCAGTGAGACCCAATGAGACCCAATGAGACCCAAAGAGACCCAGTGAGACCTAATGAGGTCCCACGAAGCCCAAAGAGACCCAATGAGGCCCAAAGAGGCCCAATGAGGCCCAAAGAGACCCAATGAGGACCAAAGAGACCCAGTGAGGCCCAAAGAGACCCAATGAGGTCCAATGAAGCCCAATGAGACCCAATGAGGACCAAAGAGACCCAGTGAGGCCCAAAGAGACCCAATGAGGTCCAATGAAGCCCAATGAGACCCAATGAGACCCAGTGAGGCCCAAAGAGACCCAATGAGG